GCCCCTGGAGCTCTGACCCGAGGTGACGGAGCTCGGGGTGTTCCTTAAAGCCCCACTCTCGGCTGAGCGGCCAGAGCTGGCTCGCCAGCGGGGTTACTCCTTCAGGTAACGGGGTTTTGAGCAAGACAGGCTCCTTTGAGCAAGACAGGCTCCTGTGGGTGGGTTTGGGGCCTCTCCTGCCTCCCCCGCCCCGACACATGCAGAGCTGTGCGCGCTCTTCCCGTTCTAGTCCTGCCCTGCTGAGACAGCTGTGCTGGCAGCCTTTACATAGAATTAGTGTTTCCGTGCCTTAAAGAGAGTCAAGGTGAAAAGCCGACGTGATAAAAGGTGAAAAGCTCACAATATGTGCAGTTTGGGAATCTATCAAAATAAATGGTGAACCTGTGCATTAATCAGATTAGTTGTTTGGGAGTGAATAGGTTGCATTTTGGCTTCTAAAAAAACTCAGAGTAAAGGGAGATAGTTAAAGCTCAAATTAAAAGCAGACTGCCTTTTTTTTTTCTTTTAAGTTTAATTCAGTTTTTTAACAAAATGAAGAAGTGGATGGACATGTCAAATCTACCACAGGATTTCCGAGAGCGAGTGGAGAGGCTGGAGAGAAATTTTGAAGTGTCAACTGTGATTTTCAAAAAGTTTGAACCTATATTTTTGGATATATTTCAAAACCCTTACGAAGAAACCTCTAAACCGCAGCGAAGCAGGAAGCAGAGGTATTTACTGCATCTTTTCCCTGGAAAAGGCTATACCTAATCCAGATTTTGGAAGTTAGGATCAGTATTTGCACTTTAAAGTTCTCTAAAGATATGGTGTGGTTAGAGAAATGCTGGGGAAAAGGTTGGACTTGGTGACCCTGGAGGACCTTTCCAACCATAAGGATTCTGTGTGATTCTGTGATTCTGTACAGTTCCAAAGGGATGGGGCCTCTTTGTGGCCGTGATTCTGAAATGCAGTACGTGCGGAAACATCCCTCCTCCTGATGGGTCACGGCTCGTACCGGCCAAACTTTGCATCCGCTGGCTGCTGAAGCTGTTTGCTGTGACGGGCAGAAACTGGCCCGGCAGGAGGGTGTCTGTGCAGTGAGGAGAGGTGTGGGGAGATGGGCGGGTTTGAGGTGTGGCAAAACCGATGGTGAAGCCGTTAGGCAGCGCTGGGCTGGGGCGGGGGGATTCTGTCCTGGCAAAGCACTGGCTCAGGTGGGCAGTGTAATGCCATAACCCCTCGGCGCGGAGCTCACCTCACGCCGCTGGGGTTTTAACGCTGCTGCCGGCCGAGGGGTAAAACGCAAAGGGAAGGAGCTGGTGCACTCTTTTTATGACAGACTTGGTAACCGGTGGTGTCGTCTTCCAGACACACACAGAACTTCTGTCTTGGGGAGCTCGTCCACGTTCCCTGCCAGCTCTGCAATAGCTTTATAGCGCAAGCGTAAGCTTGATGAGGGAGCCGAGCTGGCTCTGCACGAGGTGTTTTTGGCAGCTCACACGTGTCCTCTGGATGTGAGGGGGGATAATAGTTGTGGTAGAACACTCCAGTGTAGCTCCACAGCTGCAGGAAGAGAGGTTACTGCTGCTGCTTCAGCTCTTTGCCGGCGGCAGCTAGCCCTGTGTCTTGTATTGGGAGGAATTTTGTCATGTACTGTGCTAATGTTCCTTCCCGGGAGCAGCGTTCGTGGGTGTAGCCACAGTGTGTGTGGACTGTCTCGAATAACGTCTTCCCCGGTCTTCCAGCTCCGTGCTTTTGGATAATCTCGACTCCAGACATGGTTCAGCGGCTGAGCTTTAACACAAGCTGTAGCTGCGTGTTTTGAAGGGGTGTCTGATGCTGTAGGAAGACAGTGAGAAAAACTGTCACTGACATCTATACGGGCCTGTGGCTGCCTGAGGATTCTGGTCAAGTCGTGGCAGGAGCAGGACAGCCTGGCCGGGCTGAGGGCAGCCTGGGAGGCCAGGGGTGCTGGGCAAAACGCACCGTGGAGCGAGGTGTGGGAGCGTAGCTCAGCTTGTGCCTTAGTGTGAAACGAAGATAGACAACGGCTCGGACTGTTTTGAGTGAGGGGAATTCTTACTGTAAAACAGGCTTTGGCTTCCTGGAACTGAAGACTGACTTCTCCCCCCTTTTCCTCGTTGATAGGCGGGTGCCGTGCGGTGCTAAAGATCTCTTCAACTTCTGCTGGACTCTCTTTGTGTACACGAAGGGTAGGCCGCTTTTTTAGCCACACGGTTTGTATACGTTCCGGGTTTTGAACTGTTGTTGTGTTGCTTGACATGTTATGCTGTCTCTTAAAGGGAATTTCCGTATGATTGGAGATGATTTAGTAAATTCCTATCATTTACTTCTGTGCTGCTTGGACCTGATTTTTGCAAATGCCCTTTTGTGTCCAAATAGAAGAGATTTGCTAAACCCATCGTTTAAAGGTATGGTGGAGACAGATTACTTCAAATCAAATGAGCTTTGTTCTCTTGTTTCTTTTTAAATGAAGTTGAATGTTGGTTGTCTGGGTTTTTCTTCTTCCCTGCCCCTTGTTCCCAGGCTTACCGGGAGACTTCCACACGACAGAGATCAAAGCCTCAGAAGATCCACCTTGCATCATCGCCACGCTGTGTGAGCTGCACGACGGGCTTTTAGTAGAAGCAAAAGGAATAAAGGAGCACTACTTTAAGCCGTACATTTTGAAACTATTCGATAGGAAGGTACATGTCACTGGTTTTAAGAATGCCTGGAAGTGCTCAGGTGCCTGATCTTGAGACCATTTCAACCCCACTGGTTTTGCAGGGAAGCGTATCTGCAGGCAACCGAACTGGGGCTGGGTCAGGTTTTCCCTGTGTGTGTCTTAGCAGGAGCAGAACTTACTCTGACTCGGCGTGATGTGAGCTGTAGAGTCCCTCTGCTTTGGCTTTTTACGTCAGTGAGGAATCCCTGCTTTCCTTTCTTGGCAGTGTGGTACTGAGTTGTGGTGCTAACGTTGTCAGGCAAGACAGTGATCTCGCTGTGAAATAATTGGGTGGGATAACTGTCACTGTAGCCTGAGTCCTGCTGATTGCCTTGGAGTTGAGCAAAACGCTTTGGCAGGAAGAGGCTGAGGTTGCAGGTGTACAAATTTGTTCTTTCCAGTTTTGATCCTGCAGTTGTTTTAGAATAGAATTGGGTAGAATTGGGCTTTGTCCTCACTTCTGTCTTGCTAACGGCATTGCAGTCCTTTGGTCTGGGCAAAAAGAAAAAGTCGAGTTATGCTCCCTAATCTCATTTCCTTTTTGGCTAAAACCGTCATACCCTCCCGTTGTTAGAGTTGGAACAGTTTTGATTTTATGATGTAAAATACTTCTTTTTATTCCTAGATTTTAAAAGGAGAATGCCTGTTGGATCTTTGCAATTTTACGGAAAACAAGTAAGTTATATCTTATGTTCTTACTCATGGGATTTGCTTTTGTTCCTAGAAGACAGGTTTTCCAGTTCCTTTCTCTTCCTGTAACTAGGGAGTTTTAATTACGTGACAATCGAAGCTGCTCTCTGGCTGAAACCCTTTTGGGATCAGAGGTGTGTCAGGGGTCTGCTCCAGAGTTTCTTCCTTAATGTAGCTTTTACCCTTCTTGCCCTTATTTTCTGGCAACTGTAACTTTGAGTAAGCTAAAGCAAATCAAAACCTCGGCTCTGAAGTTCATGGATGCATTTCCATACGCACCTCAAATATTAAACCCACGTAGGGAAGTCTTTAGATTCCTTTGTCAGGCTCCAGTTGAAGGTATAAATGTGTGAATGCAACAGAAGTGCTCAAAAGAAAAGGAAGCAGCAATTGCGAAACCACAAAAAAGAGGCAGAGTGTTTCTGTGGGGGGCGAGTTGTTTCAGAAACTTGTAAAATTCACTTGTGAAAGCTAATTTAAATGCAAAATATGACAAGCAGCTGCTTTGATCTGGATCCCTTAAAGGTTTCTTTGCCTCTTCCAAAAATACATATTAATTTGTTTTTGCAAGGCAAGTTTTTGACTTGTTGCTTGCTTTGAGGATTTTGAAGAGACTCGGTTGTTCTAACGAAGTAGGTAATGCTCAAATTTCGATGTAAAATGGTGTTGACATGATACATTTGAAGCAGTGGACTTCTCTTGGTAGTTCTGCTTAAAAATTAATAGTACTGCTGTATTAATCCTGTCACGTGGGATGCTGCGGTAGTCCCTGTTCCCTCGTAAGTGGCCTGACCTCGGAAGGAAGCCTGGAAGCCTCTTGTTTTCTCTGTCCAAACTTCTCACAGACCTTTCCTTCTTCTAAAAGACGTGGCGATGGTGAACCTGTCGTGCAGTCGAGTTTCCTGTGGGCTCACAGAGTCGATCGCATCACGAATATGTTGTCATGTTCCGTTAAGACACACACCTAAGGGGTACCTTGAACTGCTAAGATGCTTTGCAGGGAAAAGGTGTTTCCTACAGGATTCAGGGATCGTGGAAAACGTGCAGGTGCGAGCTGTTTTGGATTTTTATCCAAAAGGTTCGTTCCACTCGCCAAGTGGAGTCTTTGCAACCTGTGTTAGATCGGATGTTCCTGTCTCACACTTGGGTTAGCGGCACGGAAGATGTGTTTGGTACTGTGTGTCAGGGGTGATTTCGAAAATTGAACCCGGGCACTAGCTCTCAAAGTTCCCTCCTTCTGCACCGTTATGAATCACAGAATTGTTGAGGCTGGCAAAGCCCCCTGAGACCATCAAGTCCAGGTTATGTCCCAACCCACCGCATGGGCCAGACCAGGGCACCAAGTGCCACATCCAGCCTCTCCTTAACCCCTCCAGGGACGGTGACTCCCCCCTGCCCTGGGCAGTGCATCCCAGGGCCTGAGCACCCTCCCCGTGAGGAAGGGCTGCCTGAGATCCAACCCGAACCTCCCCGATGCAGTTTCAGGCTGGGCCCTCTCGTCCTGTCACTGGGTGCCCGGGAGAAGAGCCCGACCCCCACCTGACTACACCCTCCCTTCAGATAACAATACAGGCTCTGAAGTGGCAAAAGTAGAAATCCCGTGTCGGTGGTTTTACACAGCTTCCATCAGTGTGCTCCGTGGGTACCAGGGTTTAATCTCTGACAGGCTGAGAACTGCCAAACTACTTTACTCACAACTGCCGGGGAAGCAAAGATCTTTTTTGCACTTCTTCCTGAGCCAGGTGTTGGTGCTCACTTGGGAGGAAGAGCAGTCCCTGCAGCGGGTTGCCAACCAGAGGTTTTAGGTACAAAGGAAGGCAGGGACAGCCCCAGGCCCCTTGCTTGGGGTGGTGAAATTTTGTTTGCAGGCAGCGCTGCTGCTGACAGCGTGAAATGCTTTGCCGGGCGTGTTGGTTTCAGTTTCGTACCTTAGCCTGGCCGGCAAGTTTCTCCTTTTACAGCAGTTCAACCTTTGGTATAAAACCTGAGCTTCTCTTTCAGCAAAGCACTGAACAAAGAGTATGAAGAGTACGTTCTGACGGTGGGCGACTTTGACGAGAGAGTTTTCCTGGGAGCTGATGCCGAGGAAGAAATCGGCACGCCTCGAAAATTTCCTGCGGATGTGCCAGCGGGGAAGACAGCAGCGAGAGCTCACGTGGAGTGTCATCTTCAGCAGCATTTCGAGAAGGTGATTCCTTGAGCATATCGATCTCACTTGAAGCACTCCTTCAAGTTTTTCCGGCCTCGTACATTGCTTGAATTACTGAAGTGACTTTGAATTTCTTGAACTTCTTCCTGAGAGGAAGACGATGAATGCCATTCGCAGTGGGTGATGTTTTGCTTCCTGGGGAATGTAGCAAATAACTACTCCTTAAACAAGATGGGTGTAGTCTGGTTTTGTCCAAGAAATATCAGTAGGTAGTTAAGACCTAAATACATAAGTCTGTTTCCTTTATGTGTCAGTTAAGTAAGAATACTTGAGATATTAGCGCTGGTGTAAATGAATCATACGGCTTCACTTTTTCTCCCAAATAGAAGTGTTTTTCATATTCGGGCAAATTAAAGAGAGGGGTCAGGAATGATTTCTGTAGTACAGTGACAACCTCCTTGCTGTTTGTGCGTGCTGACTGCAGGCAGGGTAGGAGCAGGTTATTTTTTAAAAACATGGGAGTTCATTTTACTCTGCCTGAAGATTTGGTCTATTTTAGATTTATGGTGGCCTGGGAAAACTTTGGACTTATTTTTGGCTAGTTCTGAGATGGCTATGATGGCGCAGGCGGCGTGCTAGCCGTGTCTTTTTAATCTTTGGAGTCATTTTGCAAGATGTGCTTATTTGAAAGGCTTCTGAAACAGTTCTGCAGACTGGTTTTGGTTTTTTTTCTCTGTCTGACAGAAAAGGTCATTTGCCCCTTCAACTCCACTGACTGGCAGAAGATACCTCCGGGAGAAGGAAGCTGTCATCACTCCCGTCGCTTCAGCGACACAAAGCGTAAGCCGGTTGCAGAACATTGTGGCTGGATTGAAAAACGCGCCCAGTGAACAGCTTATAACTATTTTTAAGTGAGTACGTCTCCCACAGCTGCTCTCGTACAAAGGCAAACTCATCCTTTTATGCTTGTGACTGCTTTCTTGCTCAAATATCAGCTTGTATCCCTGACTCCTGGGTGCAGGACTCTGTCCTGGGTGTAGTGAAATGCATGTGGAAATGTTGGTGCCTAAGCAGATGGGTATAAACAAAATAGTTTATCAGTAAAAGTGTTGGTTTTTTGCTCATAAGAAACAGTAAATACCTGTAAAGCTGTTGGGTGTTTGCCTAACATCCATGGAAGTTAAAGCCTTGCTGGTTTCTGGTGCAAGGTCTCTAGGTGGTATTATTATTGTTAATGTTAATATTATTAATGATATAATAGAATCCTAGAATGTCTTAGGTTGGAAGGGAGCTTAGAGATCATCTCCCCCAACCCCTGCCATGGGCAGGGACGCAACTAGCACAGCCTACTCAAGGCTCCGTCCACCCTGGCCTTGAACCCCTCCGGGGAGGGGCCAGCCACAGCCTCTCTGGGCAATCTGTTCCAGGGCCTTGGCACCCTCATACTGAAGAATTTCTTCCTAAGGTCCAATCTAAATCTATTCTCCTTCATTTTAAACTCATTTCCCCTTGTCCTGTCACTGGACACTCT